TCCCTGATAGCCGTGACATTGACTGTCTTCAACGCAACCAAGCACCTGCCAACTCGTAACAACCTTCCTGCCTGGGCAGAGGGCACCAACCCATGGGCCCAGTACCTCCTCCTGGCCATGGCTTGTGTTTCCTTGGTCGCCTGTCTAATCGTGTTCTGGGCTTACCGAAAGGGCGGCCACGGACGCGCCGAGAAGGCCGCCGTCTATTACACGAGCTTCTCTCTCGTCTTCTTCGGCATAAACCTGATCATGTGGATCGTCGGCGCAGCAGTCTACCAGCACTCCAAAGCCACGGGAAACAACAAGGACATGTGGGGATGGTCTTGCGCGCAGAACACCCGCGAGCAGCTCTACCACAACACCATCGACTATGCTCTCCTTTGTCGTCTACAAGACTGGGGCCTCGTCTGCGCCATCATCGAAATCGTCATCGAAGTCCTAGTGATTCTTATCTACGCGGTAGTCTTCTACCGCGTCTGGAGTAAGCGCAAGCTGATGAAGTCCATGGACACTCGCGACAATGCCCGTTCAGATTTATATCTCGCCCAGCTGCGCCTGCAATCCGCCCCGAACACCCCCGGCTTCGCAGGCTTCGCTTCCTACCCTCCAAAGTCCCCATTCTACGCCGCAGGCCCCGTTGACCCCCACTCAGCCGCGGAGAAGGGCCTAGCTCAGCCCCAGACTATTCAGTATGCCTCGCCGCGGTCGCCTACCCGCCCTACCCCATCATTCCAGCTCCAGCCGCCGCCTATCAAGGTTCAGCAGCCAACCCCGCAGACTGCCCAGCAGGAATTTGCTCCCCCTTCTCATTACTCGCCGTCGCCGCCGCCTCAAAGCGAGCGCCAGAGTCCGCCTATGAATAAGGGTAGTGCTCCCGGTGAGCGCACTTACGATTCTGTGCCGATTCCTGGCGCTTATCAGAGTCCCATGGTGCCGGCGTTCCCGGCGCCTGTACGCAAATAAATGCGAAAGAGTGCAAGCTTGCCTTTCTTTTCTCTCTTTCTTTCAACTTGGAGTGTTTTAGTTCGATTCCATTTTCCCTTGTGGGAAATGCGAGTGTCTGAAAACAATAAAAGCACAAAAAAAAGTGGAAAAATCTGAAAACTACAATCCAGGCCGTCGCTTTCGATCGATCTGCTTCAAAATCGGACACTTGTCCGACCTTCTTTTGTTTACCCTCTCCTCGTGGAGTTTAATGTACACCCTGGGACACCTGGAGTTTTGGTGAGATACAGATACCTATTTGGACTTTGGTACACTGTTGGTGTATTTACTCTCTTGATCTTTGATTATTGTCCATTAAATGAATATATTGCAATGATACATATAAATGAACTACTTACCGACTTTCATCCCAACAGCGTAGGGTGTGGAAATTTGGCAAAGCGTCTGTGCCAGCATCACCGAGGTAACAAACTGATCCTACCTTAGCTTAAGATTATTTGGTTATTGCACCAGAATATATGTATGTGAAATCGATTGAATTCGTAAACAAAAAAAGTAGTCCGAAGAGGGAAAAGAAAAAGACCCAAGAGCGCCGTTCACTGCGAACAGGAAAAAGCAAAACCAGAACGCCGCAGGGATTTACCAAGTCACACCGTCCTGTCCATCACTCGTGACCAACATGCATATCGTAGTGCTTCTACCCGTGTCAACTGTACATGCAACTAGAAGAAAACAAAGCTATCACATTCCCCCCTCTTCGATGATGGCGTGCGTATCCCTACTTACGAAGATCTCTTCCAGGGTAGCCGCATCAGCACCCATCTTGCTGAGATCACTCTCGAGCACGAGGCCCTGTTCGTTGGCAAGATGCAGAAGACAAATAAAGCCGAATGACGTGCTGATATCGCGTAGGGTCTCAGCTGGGTAGACTGCCTTGAGGGAGTTCATGATTTGCGTGAACCGTAGCCGGCCAGTAGTATCCTTGGTAGGGACAGGTTGCTCTGAGCTCCCTGCATTAGGTGTGGGTGGGACAGGGGCATCCGCTTCACTCTCAGGTTCGGTCGGAGGCTCACTGGATACAGCCCCTGGTTGTGAGGCTGAGGCAAAGTCCACGGCATCAACTAGGCGCGCACCCATGCCCTTCCACATCTCCGTTTTGAGGCGCCGGACGTCAACCTTCTTTGCCACACGTGCATATGCCACATAGTCTGGTCGTGCACGACGACCACCTTGGGTCACTAATTGTGAGCCGTAGCCGCCAGCTCCCGGTCGGCCAGGCGTGGCGCCAACCATGTTCAAGAGAGCGCTGAGTCCAGTTGCTCCACCTGCTTCTCCAGCTGATGAGCCTGGAGGGCCGTCGACTGGCGGAGAAAGCATCTCCCGGGCATCTGCGAATGGCAGATTGTCGTCGTCATCGAGATCCATGCCGTTCGGGAAAGCAAGACCATCGTCATCAGCAAAGAAGTTGGCATCATAAGCACCTGCAGCACCTTCCCCGCCGGCGTTTTCTTCCGGCTTGTGATTTGCCCAGAATGCCTCGTCCATGTCTCCATTACCAGCCGTCAAGTCCTGTCGACGGCCTTTGCCCAAAATCTTCTTTGAGCCCATCTTTGCCTTTGGCTTGAGGAACAACGTGAGTAGGTTGCGGGAATTGAAATGCTTGTCGTCGGGAAGAAGGTTGCGACCCTTTGTCTTCCACTGCGTCTTGGGTAATGAGACGGCGGAGTTGGAGCTGGCCGGGGTGTAGATCAATTCTGCGATAGCAGGATCCAGAGGGGCAGCAAAATCAATTTCAAACGGCTCTTTCTCTTTGCGCTGCTTGGGTGCCGACGTAGCGGGTGTTGCATGCTCTTTGATTCTTCGAATCTTCCAGTGTTCTGGGCCAGCCCAGTTCTTCTGGAGCGCATTGTCAAAGTAGCTCAGAATGTTTTCGTGGTCGTGACTATTAGTTTGATGAGACATAGAGATGGCATATGCGTCTTCATCACCATCATCGCCCTCACCATCATTATCTCCATCGTTGGCGGGCCGGTGGACATTCAACATCGGTTCCAAGGCGGCTTCTCGAGCCCACACCTCTCCTCCGTCACCAAACCCAGTGTCGCCGCTGAGGTCAAAGCCGGCTAGGGTAGCATCATCGTCATCAAACCCGACAGCGTTGTCGTCGTCGAGCATGATACCAGATGGGTCATCAGGTGCTCGTCCCTCCTCGTTCATCTTGTCTTGCCGCCATTCCTCTGGCGCGTTGAGGAGAGGGAGATCCAGCGACGCGCTGGGATCACCCAAGTCGAGGTTTTTGAGCGACGGACAGATATCTTGTTCATCCAGACGATCCAAATCTGGGAAAAAGTGGCTCGCTAGAGTGGCAAGGTCGATCTCTGTGTTATCCTCAAATGTGTCGCTTGAAGGTTTCTGGGTTGGTTTTGTTTGGTCCTCGGTCTGTTCGTCAGGATCCGTAGACTCTTGACGGTCATCTTCGGCGGTTTTGGCACTATCATCCACAGCATCGTCGCTGCTGTCAAACACGATTCTTCCATGGCTATCAATAGCAAGGTGGTTTAGAAGCAAACCCTTGGCACCTCCTTCATCAAAGTCTGCCGATGCTTTCTTGAATAGCGGGTCCACGGCGAACTCCAGCTCGAACTTCTTCAGTTGCAACGACGAGAACGAAGGTGCGAGGGTAGCCTCATGGGAACGTGCCTAGACGCCATTCAGTTAGTCAAATCCCATATCTCTGGCACCGTATACACCATACCTTCTTCCGCGACTTGCGAGACTGACCATCCTCGCCTTCCTCATCCTCATCGCCATCTTCTGCCTCCTCCTCTTCCCCGCGCCCTCTCTTATCACGGCTATCAGCCAGTCCACTCAGAAGTTTCCCTGTCTCTGTTGCGACACTGTCCACACGGCTGGTGTAGATTTTGACGCAACCGTCAAGGGTGCAACTGGCCTTTTGGAAGTTTACACCATCTCCTTCCTTCAGCAATGACATGTCGTGAAAGTAATCGATCAGCGCAAAGTTCCAGGAGTTATTCGCATTGATTTTATTATCGGTAGCCATCTTCATCCACTCTTCAAAATTGGCTAGGATAGGCACGCGCTTCATGGGCGTCACCGCGCGGCCGTTGACATCACTAGTGCGACGACGGCCGGAGCCTCGGGGAGTTGCGGGACTGTCGCTCCCTTCACGATCGTACGTGTACCGACGGGGTGGCATAGGCGTCTTGACGGCAGCTTTAATCTGACTCATTTGGCGATCGTGAAGCGCTTGGCGTGCCTCCATACGCGCTGCCTTTTCGCCCTCATCATCGTTGAGGGGAATCCTGATATAATTAGTTGCATGTCATAACCAAGAAATATCCAGATACGTACTTAACCGGAGAGTTTCTGTGTGGGGTCGAGGTGCCGTTAGAACGGCGATGTACCTTGTTTGCAACACGCGGCATGGTTGCGGTTGCCCCCGATAGGGGATGGCAATAACAGCGTTGAAACGGAAAGTTCTATGGGGGAGGGGTTGATGTCGATGAAGCAAAACAAATGGGGAAGTCAACAAACATACGGCGGTCCAGCGGTACCAATGACGCACTATCCGTCACGTAATCATGGCTGTTGGTGCCTACAATACAAGGAAGGTATCGATCATGTAACTAGTTACCTACGTTACCCAAGCTGGGCTTACCTTTGGTCCATCCCTTTTGAACCTTCCATGGCCAATCCTCCAATATTTGATTCCCAACTCATCATCTGTATCAATTGCAATTATCCTCCCTGCAGTCAACCCCTCTAACCTATTCCCTCAGTGCAACAACGATCGGCAGACTAAGCGCATTGGCCCACTTCCGAGCTCCGCCACACCTTGAGGGCTAGGCAGCTCCTCCTCCAGTTGACATTACCGCATTCCTCCACCGCACTCTGGCGTATACAAGCCAACATCTGTTGGCCGCGTGGGGTATATATTGTACATGCATTGAGCCCTCAATGTTGATCTTTTCGGTATAAGTTGGTCTGCAACAACTACAGTCTTCGGGCACAAGGATGCCACCATACTTCTCGTCATGATGAACCAGCTGCTGTCCTTCCTGCAGCCTGCCGTCCGCAAGCCACGATATTCAATCAGACCATTTTACACCACGTTGTTGGTGTTTACGCTTATTGCAACAGCGAGTTGGTTTCTAAGTGGTACTACAAATGAACGTGGGCAGCTCGCGCAACCGGGTACAGGGTCGCATATAGACCTGTTCAAAAGAGAGAGCGAACTAGAGGTATCTTACCTTCCCCAAATCCTTTCCTGTGAGATGGTGCCAAAGGCTAAACGATGTTCTGTGACACGATGATATAGTGCCGCTTGGTCCGCAACGCCAAAAATCAGTGTGCATACGTCCGCGCCAACTGCCCCGACCACGAGGATGGTCTAATCTCCTACCTTCAATTTTACTATTGCGGGATGGCGGATGCGAAACCGGTAGCATTCATGATATTGATCCTCTGGTTATCACTGCTCTTCAGTACCATCGGCATCGCGGCAAGCGATTTCCTGTGTATTGATCTGAGTACATTGGCTAGCATTCTAGGATTGAGCGAGAGTCTCACAGGGGTGACATTTCTTGCCTTTGGCAATGGAAGTCCTGACGTGTTTTCCACTTTTGCTGCCATGCGGTCAAATAGTGGGAGCTTGGCGATCGGTGAGTTAATCGGCGCGGCGACTTTTATCACGTCCGTTGTCGCGGGCTCCATGGCATTAGTTCGACCATTCAAGGTCGCGCGAAGAAGTTTTGTCCGAGATGTTGGCTACTTCGTAGTGGCCGTCCTGTTCAGTATGTTTTTGTTGGCCGATGGGAAACTACATGTATGGGAGTCAGCTACGATGGTAGGCTTGTACGCCTTCTATGTCGTAATGGTGGTGACCTGGCACTGGTATATGGTACGGCGACGCCGAAAGAATGAGAGAGATCTCGCAGCGCGCGCTCACTTTCATATACCGGAGAACCAGGAGCTGGACATTGAAGAGGCCGCCGAGGACGATGATCCCGGTGTAGCGTCAGAGTCACGAAGTCTGCTCCGCGGAGCCTCAACTGAGGATTTTGATCTTTTGGAACGCGCTGAGGCTATTCCTCTATGGAAAGAAGACGAGGACGAGGACGACGAAACACGCAACCGGTACTTGGCCGAGATTCGTGATAACATGCATGTCTATCGGCCTGTGCAATCGAGGCGTAATACAATGAATCCCATTCGTCCGAGTCTTGTCGGTGCATTGGAGTTTCAATCTGTTCTTCACTCGCTGCAGAAATCAAGAAACACCCATCGCAATCCGACAATAAGCCTGAACAGTTATTCAGACGACGGCGAGTCCGATTTTGACACGCGCTCGGTGGCATCGCATCCTCGCGCCAGTCGACCATCTACTACTAACGACCGCCTGTCGCCGTCCAGTGCAGCAGGTTCCTCTCGAGCTCGAGCTGTCTCGGCGAACGATGCCGTGGGGTTGAAATTTGACTCCAGTGTTTTGGAGCCCCGGCCGACACATGGTCCACTGCTTACAGTGAGCAGACCTTCTTTTGAGGATACTTCAGGACAAGAAGCCATGCAGTCACGTCAGCTCCCTCGAATTGATACCGGAACGGCGCTGGATGTATCTCCTTCGAATCGGTCGCCGTGTCTGAGTCCAGTTACCACAGGTCCTCAAACTCCTGACCGGCTCGCTCCATCAGACGCTTTCAACTCCCCCAATTACAGCGATGGAGGGATAAATGAACGGTCCCCAATGTCAGTATCTCCCAGGGGCACTACCATCCGCAGTCATTCAGGCTTCGGGTTAGAAAGCCCTTCAGTGCCCTTCCCATCGTATACTGATCTACCCCCCGTGGCATTCTCACGACCACCCAGCATTCGACTTCCAAATTCAGCCAGTCAATTAGAACGGCTACAAGTCCAGGACGGATATGATGATTTCGCTCATGTAGGCCTCGCTTTCCGCAAATACCTAAGGAATTGGTGGCCTGACTCGATCCCCCCTCCTCAGCAGATTGGTTGCACGCTCTTCCCGACCTTAGCGGGCTGGCAGTCTAAAAATGTATGGGAAAGACTGCTCGGTATTGTCGCAGCTCCCAGCGTGCTGCTTCTTACCATAACGGTCCCAGTCGTTGAGCCAGAGACACCAGAGTCTGTGGAACCGGACCCCATACCCTCGTTGATTATTCAGGACGTCGGCGATGGAGATACTCCTTCCCCAAGGGTTAGACTTCCAGCCGATAGTCCAGTGCTTATGGCTCAGACACATGACTACGCCGAGTCAGCTTCTAATGAGCCGCCAACGCACCCCCATCGAAAGTCCTCGTATGAACACGCTGGTCGCCCACGGTGGGACTCAGAACTGCCGGCAGTGCCGATGCCAGGTTCAGCTCCTGCGCATCCTGCGCCAACAAAGGACTGGAATCGCTGGCTGGTGTCCATCCAGCTTTTCACAGGACCCTTCTTTGCCGTGCTCATCGCCTGGACGACCATGGACGAAGACCGTCAGCCACGCAACCTCATTCTTCCCTCCCTAATCTCCCTCTTATTCTCCTCCGTCTGCCTCACAGCCCTGTTAATAAGCACCCGTCATCAACGAAACCACCGCCGTCTCAGTGCAGATTTTTCTCACCCGTTGCTCCCCCACGAATCCCAACCCCACGCCCACACCCTCCCACCGCAATGGAGGCCTTTCCTCTCCCTCCTTGGCTTTTTGGTCGCCATATCTTGGATCGCGACAATCGCCACTGAAGTTGTCTCTCTTCTCAAGACCATCGGCGTCATCCTCAACATCTCCGATTCCTTACTCGGATTAACCATCTTCGCCGTCGGAAACTCGCTAGGCGATCTAGTCGCTGACATCACAGTTGCCCGACTTGGGTATCCAGTCATGGCTCTGAGCGCCTGCTTTGGTGGTCCCATGCTGAATATCCTCCTCGGTATCGGGCTTGGTGGTATGTATATGACCCTCAACGGTGGGAAGCAGAGACACAATGAGGCATCGCAGGATGTCGCCCCTGTGCAAGTCCCCTATGAGATCGTCGTCTCCAAGGTGCTTGTTATCAGTGGTGCCACGCTTTTGGTCATCCTAGTTGGGCTTTTGGTTGTTGTTCCTATGAACAATTGGAGAATGGATCGCAGGATTGGGTGGGGTCTTATCGCCGTTTGGTGTGTGGGTACCCTAGGAAATGTGATTGCGGAAGTTGTCTTGTGAATTGGCATTGGAGGATGAACCACACAATTCTCAAATAGCGACTATTGGGCCTGGTTTTCTTTTGGTTTAATTTGGTGTCAGTGTTGGTTGGCAGCATTGTGGGGTTTTCTTTTTCTGCTTTCCAGTTTGCAATGTACAGCTCATCGCATGCTGAAGTACAGTCTTTTTGCATGTGAAGTAATCGTTAAAGGACTACGACATACGAAACGCATCCTCGTCAATTTTCATGTCCATATTAGGAAATGAAGAGAAATGAAGATATGAGTTGGAGGGTCTCTTTTACTCATGTGACCTTATCCAATTAGCAGACTAGAATACAAGCGCGCAGAATACACGGAAGCCGTTGCAATATCTAGCGAGGTTAAATTTGGAGTTATTCACAAAACTACTCCGTACTAGTAACCACAATATACCGCTGGCTCATCGTATCTACAGTCTATTGGTCTCTAGGTGTGAAGATTTAATTTGGAAGCTTGCAAGGTATTACATTCCTTCTACCTCTTTGGAAACTCCGATATCGCCGTCGGCTTCGACTGCTGTAAATTTTCCAACTCATTTAGCCATTTCCTTGACCAAGGTCTATTAGTCCGGTCAAGCCACCGGGATGGAACTGAAATGTGGCCTAGCACATAATGACGGTCTTGAATGTACTCTTTTCCACATACTATATATATAGATGGTAAACCCATGTAGGTTCAAAAGCCATCATTCACATTGAGAAATTTGATCTGCTCTCAACTTTTAGCTCTGGCCCTCCTGGGGTCAGTCCGTGCTGCTACACTCAAGCCGCGTTTTTCCAATGGCGATTTTGCGACGGGCGAGACAGATCCTAACATGAGTGCTGGTTGTACTTACTGGGCCAACTCCATCTTGTCGACCGATACATGTGCCGCATTGGAGAGCTTCTACGGCATCACCGTCGCGCAGCTAGTTTCCTGGGTAAGCACGAACACTCGGATCCTTCGCTCATATTGAACTTCTATTGACTTGGAATACATCAAGAATCCCTCACTATCAACCACTGCCTGCACGCTGACTGAAGGGATGGAGTTATTGCGTGGAGGATCCTGCAGTCAAACCGACTACCACCAAGGCAACGAACGCTACTACCAAGACAACAAGCACTTCCAAGCTTACTACTACTACCGCAACAGCCGCATCAGGTCCGTCTCCTGCACAGGCAGGATTGATCCCAGCCTGCAATGCCTTCTATTTTGTGCAATCAGGTGATTACTGCGCTGGCATTACAAGTACTTATGGCAATTTCACCTTGGATCAATTCTACTCATGGAACCGGTAAGTCAAACCTGCCATCTAGAATCTGTCTACCACGCTTACCACTCGTCACTCAGCGCTGTCAAAAATGACTGTACCGGTCTTCAGGCAGGTTACTATGTCTGTGTCGGAGTCACCGGCTCTACTACTGTCACTACAACTACCTCGAAAACTACAACGGCGCCCGCAACAACTACCACTTCCCCCTACTCCCCTCAGCGAAGTGGGATTGTGTCCACCTGTATGTTCCGTCGAGCATCCAACAGCCGTTTGACCTTAAATGGGAGCTGAAGCTAACCGCATTCTAGGTAAGAGCTACTACTTCGTGGGATCTGGTGACACATGCGCCGTAATCGCCGCCGAGTACGGCATCTCGTTGAGCAACTTCTACTCCTGGAATCCCGTCGTAGGATCAACTTGCGGTGGCCTTCAGGCAGGCTACTGGGTCTGCGTTGGTATCTCCAGTATGTTAATCCCTATATCCTTCCTCTCATTCAAAACTAATATCTGCTCTCGTAGCTACAACCACGACCATCACCAAGACAACCACAAGCGCAGCCTCTACCTCTACCGCAACCGGACCATCCCCAACACAAGCCGGAATTGCCCCCAACTGCGCAACCTACTACAGAGCAGTATCAGGTGACAGCTGCTGGTCCATCGTGAACGAGAAGTACACATATCTGACGACCGACAAGTTCTATTCATGGAACCCGGCGGTTGGCTCTACCTGCAGTAATCTGCAGGTGGGGTACTACTACTGCGTAACAACTGCAAGTGAAGCTCCCATGCCGAACACAATCAGCACCTGTAAAGCGTGGCATCATGTGTATCTGGTGATAGCTGCTGGGCGATTGAACAGCAATATTCAATCACTGCGACTCAGCTTGGCACTTGGAATCCGACTGTGGGGACTTCCTGCGCATCTCTGTGGCTGGGTTATTACGTCTGTGTTGGTGTTTGAGCTGGAATGGAGTAATTTACACAGAGTAGCTCATCGAGGCATTAATTTCCATTGAAACTTGGTTATATTGGGCCCCCGTTCTAGTTTTCCAATTCATGATATCTAAACTAACTATGATCAAGGGACTGTACTTGTGGAGAGCAGTTGTACCTACATGGTTGAGATCGGTTGAGTCCACTGATGCTGTGAAACATGTAACTAATCACCCTGTGCTATGAGATACTCAGTGAGCAGGACCATGAGCGCCCTCATAAAGCGGCGGCATCCCGATCGGGAAAATCATATCCACGGCCTAAAATTCGGTATATACTGCTTCCTTATGTCTCTTCGGAGACTTGCCTATGAATAAGTCCGTACAACTTGATGGTTGAGGTGGATAATAGGCAAATAGCTGGAGATTTGGTTTGAAATTTTACACATTATGACTCGTACCAGTGGAGATCACGTAGGGCAAGTGTCCAGCATCGCCACTACACCAACCCTTCTCCGAAGTCCTCAGGCCCGAATATAAAATTGTCAAAGTCAAAATTGACATCCTTGAAAATATCGTCGAATGAAACTCCCGAAGACACATCGACCATCAAACCACACCCACTGCCATCCAGACTGGGGTAAGGCTTGCCGGTGATCCTGGCTGCGAGGGTCTCAAATGTCCACAGACACTGCTGAACATAAGGACTCAAGTGTTCATGAGCGCGGAGAGCCAGCAGCACGCTTTTCCAAGACTGGGAAACAGAGTCTGTGAACAGCTCCGATCTAAACATAGCTGCGAGGAAGTTGGCACCCGCGATGTGAAAGTAGTATATTCTGTACCACCACGGAAGGAGTCCAATGGGCTCGTCTGGCTCGAGCGTCTCGTTAACTAGTGAAGCCACCTGCTCCGCGGCTTCGATGCACATGCTGGCGCTTTCACGGAGAAGTCGGTAGCTTAGGCATGGTGATTTGGGTGAGGGGTTGGTGTCTGGTTTCATTGAGTAGAAGCGGGCGAGCATGGGCCTGTAGAGAAAGATTCGGTGGTGGAGGTAGCTACGTAGAACAGTAAAAATCGATTTTGGTCAGGGTAAAGGGGATTATTGGCTTACCGAAGATGGAGCAAGTATCGCTCAGCTCGGGACGACCTGTCGACAACCATTCTGAGGTTCCGCGACTGCCAATCGCCAGGGAGACTATTTTCCCAATCTTGGAGACATGCATCTAGTTGCAATGCCGTGTTATGGTACTCGTCTTGCTGAGATAGGAGTGGAGGGCGAAATCTGGCTGCGAGACTAGTTCGCGTCTGTATCTGCGCCAATTGGATTTGATTCCCAATTTCGTGAAGTCTCAATCCCCAGGTATCATGCATCACGTTCTGACCTCCTTGTTGGGAGCTACTGGATGGCGGGGATGGTATTAGCACCAATGCCGAACTCTTACCCAGTGACCAGGAAATGCATCTATATGAAGTCAGCTAGTGAGGGCTATAGAAGAGCGATCTTTCCGTGACATACCGATCGAGCGCAACACAGCTAGCCCATACCTTCTGTTTCAGCGCTTTCTCGTCACTGGAGCCTTTTACTAAAGGCGTCTCGGTGGAATGGCAGCACATGCTCTGCGCAATCCGCATTGCCAACCCCGCTGTCATCCATGTCTTATGTTGATTATTGGTGCAGTGGAGGTATCGATTCATCAGCATTATGCACTGTACGAGCTCGAGTGATCCGGGTTTCCATAGCATAGACTCAGCTGGAAGAAGCGCCCATGCACGCTGAAAAAAGCGATTTGCTTCCTCGTTTCTTTGGTGCAGCGGGTTTTGTTCTTGTCTTTGAACTGCCAGGGCAAATACTACATTGAGGATACCAAGCCAGAGGTCGTAGTCTGCGCAGAGGGTTGTTATGGGCGTTGAATATGCTTTTTCGTAGTTTTCGAGGAAACGTTGGTGATCTAATACCGGCTCCATAGGGTCAACGTGTTGCCAGTATATGTCAATTAGTTGATCGGCATAGGGCCGGGGAGGCAATTCGGTTGACGAGGGCAAGAGACAAGATTGTGAAGGTAGCTCAAGATCTCCAAATAGCGCTGCATCTACCATTGGCACCTGATGACAGTTGTCGGGGATGAGCCCTGCCCTCTCGTCTATGGCAGCGGCGACCTGGCCGGCAAACCGCCCATGTGCGGCAAAGTATGCCCGGTTTTTCTCTTGGTCAGGCTCTGCCTCTCGATCTTCATTCACATGGTGAGGTCCAGGTATTGAATCAACTCTGGAGGGCGTTTTCGCTACTGATCCTGGTGGAGTTTCCAGTGAAGGTGCCGAAGATGGGGGTGAGACCATCATAGGAACAGGGGTGTGAGCTAATGATGCTTGTCCACGAGGTTTACGTGTTGTCTGCTTCTCAACGGCACCGACAGAATGACCATAGACACATGCCTTGCCTCTAGTCTGACATCTGGTGCATGCTTTATGGTTTGTATTAGCCTTATGCACGACCTCTGCAGGTCAATGAAACAATGAAGGAGATACCTGGGCGAGCGCCATCACATTTGATTTTCCTCGAGCGACATACTTGGCAAGCGTTTGCAACTCTTAGTCTCTGCCTGCGTAAAGGCTGCGATTGTGTATGCTGGTCAATTATCACTTCGTTCATTACGCGTTTATCGGACAAGTTGGGGATGGCGAGTGGAGTGGAGTGCCCGTCAATTAGGGCCCCGGATCTACCTGATTGATAATCAACGGGTTTACCAATGGACCAATCAGTGAAATTCCCGCTTCGAAAATAGACCCGTAGCGGAAAGCTCTTTTATTGGCTGAAAACTTCCCCTGATCGCGTCCTTGGAAAGCAGCCAATGAGAAGTGCATCCGCTTCCCACGGGTCGACCAATGAAAGAGCAGTCCGTTTCTGATGGCTTCCGCAGTAAATAACTCCGCCGTCCGGTAAGCCGTTATATAGATCGAAAGCTGAGGGAAAAGAGCCCTCCTAGTGAACAGCCTGGAATAGAAAATTGCGCTCGTAAAATTCTCCGAGTCTCTGAGACGGAGCTTCGTTCTCTTCCTCTTCATTTTCACAGTCTCGTCGATAGTCAATACCACTATATTGATATCTCTTCCCTCATTTGCACTGCTAAGGCAAATCATGTCTAACAATGAGCCGAAGGCTCCTGTCGGCACAGGCGAGGTCGAAAATGGTTACACCTACCATGGCTCGGGCACCGAGGACGATCCATTTGTGGTGGAGTTCCAAAAAGACGACCCCGGCAATCCGATGAACTGGGGTGAGTCCCGCAAATGGTTCATTGCAGCCATTGCGACCCTCTCGGTCTTCGCTGTGACCTTTACTTCCTCTGCATACTCGGTATCGGCAAATGAAGTCTTTAAGGACTTTGACATCAGCACCGAGGTCTTCATTGTCGGGCTTTCCCTCTTTGTGCTCGGATTTGCGATTGGTCCTGCCCTATGGGGTCCTTTGGTAAGTCGTTGATCTCCCTTTCACTTTGATAGAGCCCAGCTAACCATATTTCGTTGGACAGTAAGTCTCGATGGTGCCATCCTATACGCATACTATACACATAGAGCTAACATTGGCTCAAGGTCCGAACTATACGGAAGACAGAGTCTCTGGATTATCACTCACACCGCCATGGTCGCCTTTCTGGGAGGATCCGCAGGTAGCCAAAACGTGGCTACACTCCTCATCCTGAGATTCTTTGCCGGCACATTTGGCGGCTCGCCACTCGTCAACTCTGGCGGAACAATTGCCGATCTCTTCCCACCTGCTCAACGTGGTCTGGTATTGACCATCTATTGTGTTGCGCCCTTCCTCGGTCCCATTTTGGGGCCCATAGTGGGTGGTTTCGTGTCTGAGAGCGTCGGGTGGAGATGGGTCCAAGGTGTCTGCGTGATCTTCATTGGCGTAGTCGGCATTCTGGGAATCGTCTTCATTCCTGAGACATACGGCCCGGTGCTGCTTCAGCGACGGACGCATCAACTGGCCAAGGCTGATGGTAAGGTCTACGTGAGCGTCTTGGAAAAGAATCAAGGAAAGAAGCTGCCATCGGAAGTCTTCAAGCGTGCTTTGTTCCGTCCCTGGATCTTCTTGTTCCTCGAGCCCATCGTCCTGATAGCGTCAGTTTACATGGCTATTATTTACGGCACAGTCTACATGTTCATGGGTGCCATGCCCATCGTGTACAATGAAGACCGTGGCTGGAGCGTGGGCATCGGCGGACTGGCGTTCTTGGGAATTGCTGTTGGCATCATCTTTGGCCTAATCTATGCCATTTGGGACAACAACAGCCGCTACATCAAGCTGTTTGCAGCAAAATCCGCAACGCCCGAGTCCCGCCTGCCACCTGCGATTGTTGGAGGTGTCGCCCTCCCCATTGGCATGTTCGCCTTTGCCTGGACAAACTACCCCAGCATCCACTGGTCTGTCAGCATCATCCTGTCTGCACCGTTTGGATTCGGCTGCGTGCTCGTCATCCTGCCGATCATGAACTATTTGATCGACACTTACACCATCTATGCGGCCTCTGTCCTGGCTGCAGCTGCCATCTTCCGCTCGGTCGTGGGCGCTGTGTTTCCCCTTTTCACAACACAGATGTACCACAATATGGGAATTCACTGGGCTTCCTCTATCCCGGCATTCTTGACTCTTCTATGCATGCCATTCCCGTTGATCATGTATCGCTACGGTGAAGCGGTCCGGATGAAGTGCAAGTACTCATTCGAAGCGGCAGAGATGATCAGGAAAATGCAAGTGCAGCAAACAGCTGCTACTAGTACTACGGAGAAGGAAGGGTTCGTCGCCTGAGTGAGAGCTGTCAGAAATGGGCCCCTTGGTCTAGGCATCACTTGAAGGCCAACACAAGGTTTGGGCCCTATTTTAAAAGGATGGCCGCATGCGAATATAGATATCTCCCCTATAAATTTGTCATCAAGCAATTAGGTCAACTCATTGGAGAAGGCCCTCTAAGACGACTGTTACCACTAGACGGATAGCTTAGGGGTCATCTATGCATAGTCAACGAGTTAGATATGTTCATCATGGCTTCAGGGAGCTGAAACAGGCGCTGGGACGAAACACTGGAAGATGTTCTAAGGTTATTTCCAAGGTTAGGGTATGATGATAATAAACAAAACGGATGAGTATTCCAAGAAAAGTACAGAAACACAGCTAACTGCTCGCTAACTACTCTCCCATTATCCATTGACCTCGTCACCTTACTCTCCAATCATTTAGGTACGGTCATGTCTTTCCCCTTGTCTCTGCATCTGTACAGTATGTACTCTCAAAACAGAAATAGAAAGACTCTCCAATTCCATCTTCACAGCACGCGTCCAGCCGACGAGCTGGTGCTACGGTCATTCACCTGAGTCTTCCTCAGGGACTTGCCTTGCTGGATAGACGCGAGGAGGGCGCCTCGGCCAGCGCCACCGGCCGCGGCTGGGGGAGCAGGTGGAGGCGGGATGCCAGCTGGAGGGGGTGGAGGGGGAGCAGAGGGGGCTCCGCCAGGAGGCGGAGGCGGGGGCATCGGAGGAGCACCAGCTCCTCCTGGGGGAGGAGGCGGAGGCGGGGGAGGGGGAGGTACTGCAGATGGAGCGGCTGGTGGGGAGGTGGAATCGCTAGGGCTTGGTATAGCAGGAACAGGAGGCAGAGTCACTGGGGGTGGCGGTGGAGGTGCGACAGGGCTTTCTTGTACCGGGGTAGCGGATTTCGAGGCAGACTTGTCTTCATCCATAGCACTCAGAGGACGTGGAGGCGCCATAGTGCCGAACAGGATACTGGCAAGTTGTTTCGCGCTGCCACCAGTTGGACGGTCGTCCTCATCATCAGACGAATCGACCTCGGAGCCGGCAGCGGACCAGTCATCGTCTTCCTCCGGGCGAGCACGAGTCTTGCGTTCCAGGGGGGCTGCACCGGTGAAGGTGGGCTTGATAGGTTCTTGCTGGGTCAAGCGGTGGAAGGGGTTCGTAGACTGAGCTGCAGCCGGCGGCGAGGTCGCCTGGGTGGGTTCGGATGCCTGACTTTTGTTCTTGAAGTATGGGTTCTTGGACTCAGCATCGGGTGTGACGGCAGGAACACCACGGCTGCTTTCGGGGGAGCTCACTTCGCTCGGCACACTTTCGGGGGCGGGAGGTTCAGGAATAGCTATCGTAGGCACGGGAGGCGGGGTAGGGAGGATCTGGCTCTGTGTCGGGGTGCTGTACTGAGGCGTAATATCGGCAGGGCCTTCGTCATCGGATGATGACTCGTCAAGGCCCTCGAGTTCGCGCTGCAGCTGTTGTTCACGTTCCTTAGCCGCCTCCAGTTCAGCGCGTTGGGCCGCAAGCATAGCTTCCTGCTCTTTAGCCTGTCGGCTAGCCTCTTCCCTGCGGCGCTTCTCTTCCTGCTTCTTGATCTTACCCTGGCGGACCTGTTCCTCAAGAGCATGAAGTCGAGCGGCTTGGGCATCCTTCTCTTGTTGGAATTCCAACTCGCGTCGGCTTGCCTCGCCCCTGTAAATGATAAGCCAACTCCACTAATTTCGTCTCTATCTGCCGAGGGTTACTCACTCTAGACGTTTAGTCTCCGCCTCCTGCACTTCTTGCTCCTCCTTGATGGCCTGCTCACGGGCAGCCTGGTTTACCTTGGCGGGTTCCTCCTCCTTCTTGGCATCGGCTTGGCCGGCACTATCCGTGCGAGCCCTGCGGGTGGGCGGCGCCGGTGGCGGTTTCTTGCCCGCAGTCTTCGGAACTGCATCAGTAGGACCGCCCCGTTCCTCAGCCAGGCGACGCTGTCTCTCTTGTTCCCGCTTAGCATCCTCTTCCTCAGCGCGTTTGACACGATCTTCGCGCTCCTTCTTCTCACGCTCCTGGCGTTGCGCAAGAGTCTCAGGAGCGTCATGCGGCTTCAGACCAGCAGCTGCCATGCGCTCAGCAATGCGCTTTTGTGCACGCTCTCGAGCAGCTGCCACACGATCTTCATGTGTGCCACCCGGAAGAGAGCTTGACGAGTCCACGGACGGGGGCATCGAAGGGCGCACAGCGGCAGATTCAGCCGCTGGAGATGCTCGAGATTGCGCATCCGGGGAATGTCTCTCTCGCCTGTGAATCATCAGCATTGGGCGCTTTTCTTGATTGGCAAGAATAACATACTCTTCTTTGCGAATATTCGCGGTTCTCGCATTGCGGCTCAGGTCGTAGATGAAGTCACGGATGACGTCCTCAACTCCCAATGCATCTTCCCAACGACGCTTCTCATGCTCACGTGTGGAGTTTTGGCCCGCGTCCCGGAGACTATCTTCCAGACTGCGAGCGAAATCACGGACACTTTCTTCAACATCACGGGTCATAGTGTCGTTGCGCTCCCGCTCCATCTTCACGTTAGTGCTCTCAGACTCCAGACGACGAGCCGCTTGGCCATCGTCATCTTCCGTCGCGGGTGCGGGGCGTCCAGCAAGCTCGGCAGCCCGGGCTTGCATACGTGCACGCGCGCGGGCCTTGATTCGATCTGCCTCAGTTACAGTACCGCCAGGGCCAGTGCCAATGATGTTAGAGGCGCCACCGGGGTGTGCCTTGGCGTCCTTGAGACGGAAGAGCTCGAGCTTCGCATCCGCGATCTCGCGCTCAAGACGACGCACGTCAGATGCAACCTGAGGAACTTGATCTTCATAAGACTGCAGTTGGCGACGAAGAGCCCTACGATCTGCCCCACTGTCCACTTGACGGAATGCGGCATTGGGGTGGGTATCGAGATCGTCCTGTACGCGACGGATACGGTCCATGAGACTCTCTGCCTCGCGGCGGTCCTGACGGTCTAGAGCATCATCATCCTCAGCTCGGTTCTCGTCCTCGAAGTCGGCAGCGTCAATCATGACTTTGGCCTCACGGATCTTCTTTTGCAGCTGTTCCACAGAATACTCCTCCTCTGAAGCGCCAGAGGCAGCCGGTGACGGGGTACGAGTCTCGTTACCAACGCGACGTCGTGCGCTAGAGCGGTATCCACCAGCGGAGTCATTGTTCTTGAACATCGTCGCATCCTTGCGGCTAGCTGGAGAAGCGCCTGCTGTACCGCCACGGAAGGAGTGATCCTTGAGATAGCTGACACCAGTCTTCTGCGGCTGCAGGAACGCACCGGTAGCCTTGCGATTTTCAGCATCCTGTGAGAGAAGAGACTTGACTGTACCGATAGAGTCATTCAAGTGTCTCGTAGAAGGGGGAACAAGCTCGGGTGGTAGACGGTTGGGAACTGGGTATCCGTTCAGAGCACGGTAGATCATGTGCATAGCCACGGCGAACTCATCCATGTTCAGTCGGCCACGGTTATGGGGATCAGCCAGGGTCCAGATCCGTTCCAGATCTTTTCTATTCAGACCACTTTGGCCCATGATCTCGATGGCAGTCTCGCCACTGATGAAGCCCTTGCGGAAACCGTCCCATGCGCGGAAAAGATCATCGTAAATCTTCTTCTCCTCCTTTGTAATTGCCCAGGCAACTGTAGCATTTCCTGAAAGGCCAACAGCGCTGAAACCACCCTCACGCCCAGGCTGCGGCATGAGCTGCTGCTTCATAGCATCGATGTTGGGCAAACCCTGCGCTGGTGTATTGATGAATCCCCATTGACCTGGCATTCCCGTAGGTTGCGCAGCCAGGCCCGTAGGCTGCACACCCAGGCCTTGCATTCCACCGGTCTGGGCGGGACTGAGGTTCGACCCGTAACCAGTAGGCATAGGTGGCATCGGGGGCCGAGGGCCGGTATATCCAGTAGCCTGCGGGTTGGTAATAAAACCTGTTTGTTGAGGCTGAAGGAATTGAGACTGGTTCTGTCCAGGGAAGCCCGTCTGGTTGGGCTGCTGGATACCACTCTGCTGGGGGAAGAACCCAGTGGGCTGTGCTGTCAGCTGCGACAGCAGCTGGGCATTGTTAGGTTGCTGCGGAACGGGCTGCTGAACAATCGGGGGTGTCGATTTGTTCTCCATGAGAGGCGCATCAAAGTTGGGGACGTTTGTTCGTTGTTGGACCGGCGCCGGCTGTGTGTCGGGGACATCGAACGAGATGATGTCAACCATACTGGAAACCTCGTTCTTGATCGTCTCGGGTAGGGAAGAAGGAAGATCGCGGCCGGTTAGACGAATGTTGCAGAGGTACATGGCCAATGCGAATTCGGGGAATAACAACTGTCCGGATTTAGTGGTATCAGACAAGACCCAAATCTTAGAAAGATCACCGCCCGACAACTTGGAACGCAACAAAAGATCTCTTGCTTTGTCGCCTATTGTGACAAGTCAGTACTACCATCCAAGCCATAAGATAGGACCCATTGGGTGCACGGAAACCCACCATCCATTGTTTTGCTATCGCCAACCGCAGACTTAAAGAGCTGCTCGAACCTCGCCTGATCCTGCGCCGTGATAAACGAAAGCCGAATGCTTGGGATCTTTGAACCCGTCTTCGGTGGCACCTGAGGAGGCGCCCCAGAGCCAGCAGCATCTTGGAAGGAGTTTGCGATATCGCTGGAGGTCTTAAATCGAGTTGGTATCTGCGGCACCGGGGGCGGCTGCTGCGCTTGGTTCTGGGGAGGGTATCCAGTGTATTGTGGTGGCAAGCTTTGCGCTTGCTGCTGCTGGGGTTGCTGGGGCGGGGCGCCGGGGAAGCCAGTGAATTGCGGCTGGAGCTGTCCTGCGGGGAATCCGGTGGCTTGAGGCTGTAGCTGCGAGTTACCGAACGGGGAAGGCTGGCCGGCGAATCCGGTCGACTGTGGAGCAAGACCAGTGGGCTGCGGAGGAAACCCAGTCGGTTGAGGTTGTTGGATTGATGGCGGCTGCTGGCCTTGGGGGATTTGCGAATAGGGGGGTTGTTGTTGCTGTTGCATGAATGGTGCCTGGCCGGGACGGCCAGTGGCACCACCCCCGAGGAAATTATTCGACGAGGAAAACATCAGAAAGACCACGCTCGCATGAGCAAAAGGATGCAGAAAAGTCAACAAGGAATTGACGAGAAGAACGAATGCAGAATGGGAAGTGAGTTGAGTCTCAGGAGGATGCGAATGACGCCGTTGCTGGACGCGGAGGCACCTGCGCTAACCTCATCGGGTGCTTAGTCATTTGTCCGAGATATTTTTGGATCTACGACTGGAATACTTATGGATATAAGTAATGAGTTTGAAGCTTTAAGCTTGTAAATTTGCGGTATCGGCGAGGCGATGGGGTAGCTGAGTCTCACAGAAATAGTAGAGAGCAAAAAGAAAGGAAATGCGCCACGAAAAAAAGGGGCCACCATAATTCCCCAGATAGAAAACGAAAAAGAAAACAAACGCAAGGCATAAAAGACCATAACTGCTCCGTGCGCCAGATTTTCAGACGTAAGAAAAGAATATGGATGGTGACTGGGTATCACTCGTAACCATTTACTCAACAGTGTTCTGCTGCTGTTGCTGATTGGCGGCGTTGGCAGCCTTGCGGAGCTCGTACTCCTTCGTGAATTCCCGAGATAAGATACCCAGGTCCTTAATCAGAGCCTCGGAGGCGTTAATTACAGCCTGGCGAGGGGTGACTTCGCCGTCAGTCTGGATACGCAGCTGGAATTCGGGGGTGAGCGGGTGAGGAACCTAATGGATTGCTGTTAGTATCGTTCCAAGAAACACCATGTGCATATAGCAGGTTGCATACACGGTAAGCAGCAAAGATCACATGAGCAGTCTTTAGGAGACGCTGGCGCAGCATGTTACCAAGGGTGTGGTCTTCCTTGCGGAAGGTAAATATGGCGGCGGAAGGAAGGCCTAGATAGATACGGTCAGTGAGATTATGCCATCTACATTGATCAACATGACTTACGGGTATCAATCTCAACATCAATCTTGCTCTCGCCGGGAGCGAGCAGGATGGCTTCATACCTATGTTCATGACCTTGGTCAGTTGATGGTCCACAGATGAAAACAAGAAACAAAAACGCAGAAAAAGGACAAAAAAAGGAGGAAACAAAGGCCTTAATCCGTGAGTTGATTCAACTGACACGTCAGGGGCATCATCAGGGAGTGCAGGGCGAGGATGGCGCGGATGGGGGCCCTGGCCACGGCGACCAGCACGCTCTCTGGCGATAGCCGCAGTGGCCGTAACGATGGCAGGGCTCTGAGGCATGACTGCACAAACAGAGAGGATGAAACAAAGAATTGACAGCAAACAAGAGGACAGTGCATAACAGGACGGTCCGCTGGTAAAAGGAAAAGAGGACGAAGAGGGAAAAGACTTTGACAGTGTTGGGGAGAGGATAGTAGACATAACGCAATGCTTGCGAGGGTAGGAGCAAAACGATGCGGAGAAAGTGCCATCCTCGACTTCCAGGTCCTTCCCTCCTTGGAAATTGATGAGAAATGGAAGAAGGAAGGCGCAGTTTACCCCGGGATCCGGGAAAGGTGTTGTGCGGTACATTTGATATCCAACCGAAATCGAAGATCCAGTATTCAACGTACGACCAACTTCGCCGGAACAGCTCAAAATGAACAAAACTTCAGGAATTTCAGAAAGGCTGGCATGAACTCACCGATCTGGGGCGTTCATAGTGGCGAGAAAGTCTTCGAAAAAAAAAAAAAAAGGCCAAA